TATGTGTAATATATTAGTTCCTGATTCTTCCGTTTTTTGTATAGCTTCTTGTGTTTTCTTAGTGCACTTGTCATCACATATGCCAAATAACGTATGCATAGTGTTACCTATTATGTTTATTAATCCCCTTTTCTTTCTGTTGTTTTTAATGTCCTCCATAGTACTTCCTAGCGACATATATGTACGTTCTTTCTGTTTAGTTATTTCGTTATATAAGTCTGTAATTACTAATTGATATTTCCCACATAAATCTTGATGTTTTTGGTCAGTACATAAATTTGTTATATTTTTAATTTTTTCCCCCAATAGTTCATATTTCGTGTTATATTCTTTTAATGAGTAAAACATTACAAGATTGTATTGAGCCCCTATTAATCTAACTGGCCCCAACCCTTCATATTGTATACCCCTGCCAACTCCATAAGGCGTATACGAAAAGTACTCTGATGTATTTATTTCGTCAGATTCAATAATATTGACTAGAAAACTCGTCACCATCACCAATCTAAAAGTACAAAGTATATTTATATTAAACTAACTATCTTATTATAATCTTATAAAATTAATACCATCTTACATAATCTAAAATATCTCTAGCATCATGTAAGAGTTTCATATAGTCTATTAACCGTTTACATAAAGTATTTGTGGGTGTTACCGAATCTGATGATAAATCGTACATAATTAGTGTTAAAATTTGAGTAATTTTTGTTATTTCGAGAGTACCAAATGGTTCCTCCATAAAATTATTTGCTGTATTAATATGTCCTATTAGACACCTCGGTGTGTGTTCCGGTCCTAAAGTATATGTTTCGTGTATTTCTTGTTCGATTGCCATTCCTAGTTCCTCAATGAATTTTCTTTGTCTGTCCCTAAAATTAAAATTTTTATTTTTTTATCGTATTTATTTTTTGCTATTATTTTTATTGTGTATTTTTTTGATTAGATTTATTATTCAAGAAAGCATGGAACCTGACGAAACCCGTACTCGGATATACGTCATTCGAAACCGTGCGTATACATTTTTTTTGTTTTGCTTAAGAATTTATTTAATTATTTTTTTTTTAAAATTATTTTTATTAGCTCGAGGGCCGGACATAATTATGGAAATTGAGTGGCCGGAGTGGTTTACCCCTCCGCCGCAACATATTGTATCGAGAATTCTTGATGAGGAAGATGAATCCGATTGATTAATTTAAAGGATAAACTGTTTATTAAACTGAATGATGTTAATTACATATATATTTTGTTTAATAAATTAGTTTTTTATCTTTATCTGAATCCGTTTTATTACATTAGTTTATTAATTTTTTTTTTTTTGAGAATAAATTTTAATATATGTTCGGTTTCTATTCCTAAAATTAATTTAATTATTCTAACTTAATTAATTAACTTAATCGAATATATAATCATTATAATTGTAACGTGGTTCAGGTTCGGCTTTTAATCTAATCGGTACCTCCAACGTACGTCCATAGACTTATGCGTATGGTTGAAAATTAGTAGAAGTATGTACCGTTGAATTATATACAAAGAATGCAAAGGGTAGTAAATGGTCCCAATTATTTAAATTCTTATCTACATAATGTCGTAAGTACCCGGCTAAAGTCCTATGAGCGCGTTCTACGGGGTTACCCTGCGGTCTGAATGGACTTCTGTTAACCTTTTCTATCTTTAATATTTTACAAACATTTGCAAACGTTTTCGAGAGGAAATTAGTTCCTTGATCCGTGAGTATTGTTTCTGGTATGCCGTGTACATAAACGAAGTGTGTAACAAAGGCTTCCGCAACAGTATTTGCCTTCTGGTCAGGAAGTGGAATTCCTAAAGTGTAACGTGTCAAATCGTCCTCCATCGTTAAAATGTATACATTATTGGACAGTGTAATCGGCAAGGGCCCTACTATATCCATAAATATTTTTTCGAATGGTTTAGACGAAGTGGATGTAATAGCCATTGGTTGTTTTATGTGTCGATTTGATACCTTATTAACCTGACATGACGTACAATTCCTTATATATTTTTTAACATCTTCTTTCATTCCCCTCCATATAAATTGTTGTTTTATACGTTTAGTAGTTTTATTCACACCTAAATGTCCGCCTAGTTTTGAGTCGTGAAATTGTGATAAAATGACTGCTTTTTCTTCTTCACTATATTCTACATTTGCACATATAATTATTTCTATATTTGTTTCGCGAAATATGTATCGCAACATTGACCTTATTTTTTTCCATTCTAAATCATCGTGATCGCCTCTAGTTTTCATTCCAGAAACCGGCATATCTCTGTTTGTTCCACCTGCGTCTGCGCCTACAACGGAAACTAATCAAGAAAAACAAGAAAGTGTATTTACATTTAGTGACTATCCTGCTCAGTGGGTTATAAGCGATTATTTTCGTGGCTACATCGCAAAATACGGTTGTAACCAGAATAAAAACGCAGATTTCAAGCTTTCCAGGCGAAAGTATGCGAATGAGAATCAATATAGATCTATGTCAGCTTCTTTATTTCAAAGAAAAATGCACAATAATGAAATCTCCAATCGTTTATGGCTTATATACTCAGAAAGCAAGAAATCTGTTTTTTGTGGCCCATGTTTGCTCTTTGGTTGTTATGGACAGAATTCTTTTTGTAATTCGGATGGATTCAATGATTGGAAGAACTCCACTGTTTGTGTTGGACAACATGAATGTACACAAGACCATAAGAAATGTATTTTGAATTTGAAAGACAGAGCATCTGTTTAGGAAAAATTGATCATGATTTGACTGCCCAACTTGATAAGGAAATATCATATTGGCCAGAAGTTATAAAAAGAGTGGTTGCTGTTGTCAAAACATTGGTTTCTTGTGGACTACCTCTTAGGGGTGACGCTGAGAAAATCGGTTTAAAAAATAATGGACATTTTTTAATGCTCTTGAAATTCCTCTCTGAATTTGATCCATTTATGAACGAACATATTAAAAAATACGCAAACAAAGGTAGTGGCTAACAAGTTATTTGTCAAAAACGATTTATGAAGAATTGATTGAACTTATGGTAAAAAAAAAGTAAGGGAGACAATTATTGCAGAGGTGAAAATAGCGAAATATTACTCAATAATTGTTGATTCTACACCTGACATTTCTCACGTAGATCAGCTTGCATTTATTTTAAGATACGTACTACCAAATGTTGTAGCAGTTGAACGTTTTGTAAAATTACTCGATAATGTTGGACATAAGGGTACAGATATGTATAATGCCGTGAAAGAAACTCTAAAAACCTCGCAAATAAATTTTAATGACTTGAGAGGTCAGTCATACAACAATGCTGCAAATATGAGTGGCATTTACAAGGGGCTTCAAGCCCTCATAAAAAAGATAACCCTCTGGCACAGTTTACACCGTGTGCTGGACATGGATTAAATACAGTGGGCACACACGCTGCTGAGTGCTGCCCTGAAGCAATTTCATTTTTCTATTTGAATCAAAATTTATATAAATTTTTTAGGGAATCACCAGCAAGATGGAATATATTAAAATCTTTTGTGAATTCAAAAAACATAACGCTTAAGTCCCTATCTAACACTCGTTGGTCTGCACGAGCCAATACGGTAGACTTGCTATATACATTTTGGGAAGAAATATATGGTGCTTTGTTGGATCTGTTGGAAAAAGCAGCAACTAAAAACTCAGCGAACAGTCTTAGAAGAAAGCTGGAACATTTGGAAATGGCTATTATGGTGACTGTATGGAATGTTATACTCGATCGTTTCAATGTTGTGTCGCAAAAGATACAAAACTTCAGTACGAGTATGAGCGAAGTGCTTGATCTGTATAAATCTCTCGTTGATCTTGCTAAAAATATTCGTAATAATTTTGATCATTACGAAAAAAAAGCCCTAAAAATTTCGATAAATAAGGTGTATAAAAATGAGATTTCATCTCATTTTTATACACCTTATCGACGTCTCCATGCGGACGAAACTAATGAGGGGCAAGTTGAATTTAACGGAAGATCCGATTTTAAGATAAATACATTTAATCCCATCATGGATAAAATAAGAGCTCAGCTCGAAAATAAATATAATCTTTACCGGGACATTTTTCAGAAATTTACAGCGCTTCTAAGATTTGGCGAATTAGATGAAACTGATCTCAGAGAAGAAGCTGAAGCTTTACGAAATTATTTTCCAGATGATCTAAATAATCGTCATTTGCAAATGAATTGATTCATTTTAAATTATACTGCAAAAATTAAAGTATTGAGAAAGATTCCCCGTCAAACCTACTCCAACACATACGTGATCATGATCTGACCTCTGTTTTTCCAAACATAGACATCTCGTATAAATTATTCAATTGCATGCCTGTTACAAATTGCAGTGCCGAGCGTAGCTTTTCATGTTTAAAACGTATAGAAAATTGTTTAAGGTCGGCGACATTAGAAACACGTTTAAATAGTTTGTAGCTTCTCAACATTGAGGCTGAAATATTGACAGCCCTAAATCGACACATTCGCAAAACAAAAAGCACGAAGAAAGTTTTTTTAAAGTAATCACTGTATATCTTGACTTTTGTATTTTAAAATTAAATCTCCTGTTTCTTGATTACTTGATTTTATAAGTTTTTAAGTGTGCACTAAAATAACACTTATATGAAACTCATATTGGTTTTAAAAAAATGATTGTATGATTTTGAGGCGGCATTTTCCTAATAGCCTAGGGCTGCTGAAGAGGTAAATCTGGCACTGATTTTGGAGATTGAAGTTACAAATTATATGAGTTTGTTTCGGCTATTATTATACGATAAGATAATGTTCATGTCGTTGCTTATAAGATACACGTAAATTAAGCTATAACGAAGTTTATTTCAGCTATTATCATGCGATAAAATAAATGACTCTACGATTGTAACCTCTACGTTATGTCGTTATCGTTTTAGTTTAGTTTAGTTGTTGTGTCAAAAGCGATCGCATGCTTGCGATTTTGCACTTCGCATTTGTATTTTATAATTATGAGTTTAAAACGAAAGTGTTTGTCAATTTCCGACAAAAAAAGAATAATTGAAGCAGTCGAGAGTGGTAAAAAGAAGAAAGACGTAGCGGATAGTTTTCAAATCCCTTCATCGAAACTTTCTACAATTTTGAAACAGCAAGATACAATTTTTAATACAACTGATGCAGAAAGAGACCGAAAAAAGAATCGACTAAGTGAGTTTCCTCGTTTAGAACAATGTTTGTACACTTGGTTCAATCAAGTTAGGCAGCAAAACATTCCAGACGACAATGTGTTTCATAACATTTTAAATTTGGAGAACACTATTGACCTCATAAGCGCAAGTAACAAGAAATAAAAAAAAATAAATAAATATGTCTATATAATTAACTAAAAATACACAAATTGTAATTAATTAATAAATAATATGTATGTATGTATCTAATAAAATATGTAATATTATCTAGGTATGTAATATGTAAGTAATTATACGAATCTAATAAAACCTAAATTTATTTTCTCTTAAATCTCGTTTAAACGAATTTTGTTGATTTATGCTTTTGATATAACGAATTTCTGTGTAACGAACTTTCGATATACCGAACTTTTTCCTCAGTCTCTTGAAATTCGTTATATCGCGAGTTGACTGTATAACATATTTACGTGGAACCTTGTTTTAAACTTTTAATCCTTAGCTATAAAAGTTGAACATTTTATACATTTTTAACTAAAAACAATTATTAAATTTTAAATTTGATATATTTTGTCAAAATTCGAACTTTAAATGCTTATAAAAAAATTGTGCCAATGTATTTTTAATATTTTTCAACTGCCATTGTAACATTATATTAGGAGCCTTGCATTAAATTTTCACGCTTTTTTACCCAGCAAATAATTTTTATTGATATTTATTGAAAAAAAAACTAAAAAAAATGGAAAAAGGACTAATGTCCGTAAACAGCTCAAAAAGAGTCAAAATATTTTCAAAATTGTATGGTATATAGAAAATGAAAATATAAACATTTAGTATAATTTCCATATATTTACAGTTCTTCGTTTTTAAATACCAAAATAACAAAATCGCTTTATGAGAAATCGAGTGAATATCCAATATCGTAAAAATATGAAATTCAAACGCTCATAAAAATTTAATTTGATTTGCTTGAAGTCATTTTGTTTTTTGATAAAGATAGTCAAACTTATGAATAATCTTGTGTTACATTTTAAAATTTTTATGAATTTTTAACTCAAAATAATTTGCAAATTTTCATCATTTTTACGTATTTTGTCAATATTTCAACTTTAAATGCTTATAAAAAAAATTATGACTGAATTCATAATTTTTTTCATCTGCCTTTGAAACAATATCTAGGAGCTTTCTTTTTCAAGCTTTTTTAACCAACAAGTAAAAAAAAATGGAAACTGAAAATAAAATAAATAAATAATTAAACAAAATAAATATATAAAAGCCTTAATTGTTTACCATGCATTGAAGTCTACATTAAATTATAATTGGCCTCTTCTTAGAACTATTGGTGGCTTTACAACTCCTAAAACATTTTTTTTCTAACCAACACAAATCAACAGGTTCAGGATACATAAAAATTTTGCCTGTATCAACTTTTGTTGAACAATATTTTAAAAATGTTGCATAAACTTTTTCCTCTTTCACATTCATAATATTACCAATAAAAAGTGTGTTTTTGGATGAACAATGTTTGGATTCTTCAGAATTCATAAAATGTCAAAGAAAATATAAAATATAAAGGAAAAATAAAAAATAAAATTATAAATTATATTATATATGATGAACTTATATTAATTTTTTTCATGTTTAAATAAGAGGAAATTATTGCTGGTTACCATTTTATTATATTAATATACTATAATTATAATTTATTTTTTAAATAAAAATATGGTGATAATGATAAATAATAGGTCACATACTAAATAACTAAATCTATTAATTGATTGTATACATTTGATAAACTGTAATTAATTTAATTGTCTAATACTTATATTGTAGTTTGTACAGTAATTCTAAACAAACAGTTAGGTATTTGTACAAATAATTTTTTGTTCAATTTACGTTACAATTTGTTAACATTATATTATAGAACTATACATTTTTAATTAGTTATTTTTAGGCAGTGATTGTACACGATCTCTAAAAAATATAGATTGATAAATTATGATTTTAGAGCATTATTATTATCATTTGTAATTACTTATTGACATATTTTAATACAAAATTAACAGTTGAAAGTAAAAGATAAAACATCCCTTATGAAAAAAAACAACCAAAAACTATTCAGAATCCTTGAATGGTAGTCTTTTTGGGCAAACTACTAAGAAATTTTAATAGTTCAACTACAAAACGTGGTTAGTAGTTTACTACTAGAAAATTATCAGTAGTAAACTACTAGTGATTAGTAGTTGACTACTAGCAGTCAATAGCTAACTACTAGAAGATTTTCGGTGGTTTACTTCTAAAGGATAGTAGAAAAAGTAGGTAAGAAGACAGCTAAATGATCAACAATGTATCAAAATTAAAAATTATATTAATACCATAAATCAGTGGCGTGGTGAACTACTTTTTGACCAGGGGCCAAATACAGAATACCAATCCACCTACCCACCTAAAATTAATATTTACACTTAAATTCCAATGTCAAGGGTGATTTTATATTGTATATTACAAAGGTTATAGTTCTACCCCAATGCGTATTACATCTGGTGTTCCGCAAGGATCTCACTTAGCTCCAATTTTATTCAATTTATTTATAAATGATATAAAATTTCATAACTGTTCTAAACTAATGTTTGCAGATGATATTACATTTTTTCGTATAGTTAATTCACAACAGGATGCGGATTTACTTCAATATGATTTGAGTATCCTATATGATTGGTGCACTAAAAATTATCTACCACTCAATATTAATAAATGTCAAATAATGACTTTCACTAGATCTAGATTGACTACTAACTATAATTATTTTATAAATAATTTGTCTCTTCTACGTTCTACCGTCCTATTAAAGACCTAGGTATATTATTTGACCCATAATATTATTGTTTATTGTAACAGGGCCTTGCCCGTTTAATACTTAATTAATAAATAAATAAATAAATAAATAAATAAATATACCTTATCAACAGATGGAGAATATGATATCCACACACGTTTAACCAGTGATCCTTCTTGAAGTTTTTTGAAGTAGTGCTCCTCATGAAATGATCTCAGTCTTTCTCCTTGGATTCTTTTTGGGAATTGTTTTCCTGGTAAACTAGATTGTAAAGGTTGACAAGGCCCAAGTGAATTAATAAATCCAAATTGTTCATCAGAAATATTCGAAGTAGGAATTAAAGCTGGATCATTTGGATAACTTTCAAATATAGTAGAAATAGTATTAAGATAACTCTCTACTTTTGAACCACTTACATTTTCAGTTGTAGAGCTAACACTGGAAACTTCAATTATACCTATAATAAAAACCTTGATTCAGTAAAATTAATATTAAATGAAATATTTAATTAATTAAATACTTTTAGATACAACACTAGTACACAATTTGTCTAGTTTTTCATTCACCAAATTAGGATCAATAACATCACCTTTGGGTATTGAGTCAAATATACGTTGTACACATACAACTCTATCAATATTATCTAAAATAGATGTGGCAACTAAAAAAATACAAATTTCAATTGGAAATTAAAAATAAAACTAGCTAATTTTAATTTCTTTAAATAGATTGTTTAATTATTACTTTTTGGTTCAACAGAATTAGTGTAAGATGTGGATTGAATTTCAGTCAACAAATTAGAACCAATACCATTATCATCGGGTATTGAGTCAATTATACGTTTTTCACAAACAACACTATCAGTATTATCTAAAATAGATGTGTCAACTAAAAAAATACAAATTTCATTTGGAAATTAAAAATAAAACTAGCTAATTTAAATGTCTTTAAATAGATTGTTTAATTATTACTATTTGGTTCAACAGAATTAGTGTAAGATGTGGATTGAATTTCAGTCAACAAATTAGAATCAATAACATCATCGGGTATTGAGTCAGAATAATTCTGACTGTCAAATATACGTTGTTCACATACAACACTATCATTAGCCTTAAAAATCTGTGTTTCAACTGAAAAAAAAACAAACTTAAAAATTAGATAGATAAAAGTAGTGTATTCTAATATAATAGTGGATTCGCAATAACTCAAACCTTGATAACTTAAAAAACTTGACAACTCAATTTTTTTTTGTTATTCCCCTATTAATTAGTTAGATACCTATCTCAATGCAAAGTTTTATCCAACTTCAACTTTGAGTTATCGCGACTCAACTGTACTAGTTTACAACTAAATAATAATAAACATAAAATATCTAGGTATTACCTTCGACAGAAACGTCATTTCTAGAAGACTTAAAAAATGAACTGAGCTTTGCAGTAGAAACTACTGATTTCCGTTTTTTGCACGATTTAGTGTGTCGTTGCCAATTTGTGCTATTCATTAAATCTTCCATTTTACCGCAAACACAAACTTCATCAACTAATGACATATTGCAAGTCTGAAAAAACAAATTTTAAATAAAATATGATTTTTTTAGCATCTCATAAATCAAACTAATTTATAGTTAAAAGTTTTATTATTTTGTATTGGAAATTAACTCATTGACATTAGTTATTTTATAAGATGCATCATGCATGGATAAATTTTATTTATTTATAATTTTTTTTTATTAATTTAAATAGCTATAGCCTACAAGTATACTAAGTTAGCCATAATTATAAGTATTTAAAAAATAATGAAACTTACCTCCTAGTCAGATCTTGTTTCCAGCACTTATTTAATAAACAACAAATGTTTTTAGTATAGGTAATTAACTAAAAGTTAATATTATATTAATTAAGTAAAAAATGAAACTGAACCGAATAAATGACAAGTTAACCAATGCAAAATTCTTAATGCATACAGCATAACCCGACGTTCGTAGCTCGAACAAAATTAAATATGACAAATAATAAATTCACCAGTCTAAAATATCTATATAGTGGAAAATGAATAATTCGCTCACCGATAAGCAATTTTAAGTTACATCGTTGTCGTAAATCGTAATGATTATCGTGAAGGCATTAAGGCAATAGGTAGGTCGCTGCTGGCTGGTTAGCTTCAGGAAAACGCATATCTAAAAATAAATACCTAATATACACTGCTGGTACCTTATCACCGCAGATTTTCTTTTTACAGGGGGCAAACCTAGAAATTTACCACCCGGCACCTACCAATCTACATTATTCATTACAAGTTTTATGAGTTAATCAGTAAAACATTAAATTTA